TCAAGGAAAACAGCGACGAGGCGCGCTGGGCAGTGACTTGTGATCTCTTTCAGAGAGGGTTTAGGGTTTAAAGTTTCGGGTGTAAGCCGTAAGTGGTTTGGTTCGAGGCTGGGGATCTCAGTGCCAATTGGTGTGCACCACGAGCAGTCGCAAGAATGAGGTTGAGAGCTTTCGTTTTCAGGGGGTCCGGTTTTAGGGCTTGGGAATATTCAAGCTTTCTGCGGCTTTTTTATGGTTTTCGGATGGCTGCGAAAGCTGAGGATTTTGATGGTGTAGAGAGCAGGCATGCCCCTAAACCCCTAAACCGTACTTTAAGGAACACCTGAAACTCAAATCCCTCAACCCTCATATCTATGACAGTAATTGCAACAATGATGAGGCTAGTGCCAACCATAACAAGAAGCGGAGACAGTGATAAAGCAAGAAGCGTGAACCTGAGAAATCTTAAGCCCTAAACCCCTCAAAATTGCGAGAGGGATAGGGTTTGGGGTTTAGGGAGTTTAGGGTTGAAAGTCGAACCCTCCACACCTTCGGGCTCGGAGTTCTGAACTTCCTGGAGAATGATGAGCGACGCGTCGATGGAGATGACGATGATGTCGATCGCGAACCAGCCACGTAGATACCTGGATTTATAGGGTTAAGGGGTTAAGGTGTAGGGCGTCTTGAGGATTCTCGAACGCGAATTTACCTGCAGTTTAGCCCCACAAAACTGAAGCAATTTCCTGGTGAGTCCTCTTGGTGTCGCTGCTGGCCATAAACAACAAGAACAAGACTCGTAAAAGAAATGACTAAGTACTAGTAGGCCGGTAAGGTGATATTTGCGGCCCTCCTTTCTACATTCTGAGCAAGGCCCGGAGCTCGAAGGAGCTTTATTGTGGTCATGCCCGATTTAGGATGAAGACTGCGGGGCTTTATCCTACACCCTGCACCATTTAAAACAAATCCTGATCCTAAAACCTCACGTCTTTTTTCCGCAGCTCGTGAAACCCAAGTCTTTTTGCAACAGATCCTACAAACTTCGACCACCCAAAAGCCCCAAGCCTTCATGCTATCAACCTATGAAGAGCACGAAACCCTAAACATACCCTAAACCCCAATCATCCCTAGCCCGCCAGGCCTTCGTATGAGCTCCCTGGGTCTCATCTCGAGATGGCCGTCCACCTCCACGGCGAAGATCATGTGCAGGGGCCTGGGAAGGGGAGGCCTAGGAGGGTTCTGCGAAGATTCTGTGCCTTTAAGATTTTTCCCATGGAGGAAAGCTTTGGGGCTGTGGGCGCTGTAGGGCTGCGGCTTGGGGCTTTTATGGGGCTTTAAGGCTGCGGTCTTTTTCTAGGGATCCAGAGCTCGAGGCTCTTAGGCTCCACACCAAAGCCTATCACTTCCCCAATCAGCCCAAAGAAAGGGTTTAGCGAAGTTTAGGGTTTAGGGTCAACCTGAAATCACGGGCAGCTTGGGGTTGTCGGTGGCTCTTCCTAGAAGGGATCCACCCCCCAAGCAGACCAAGCGACATGTCGATGAGCCAGTACACGAAGGAGAACCTCAGGGCGAGTCGCCGAAGCCCCCAAAATGAAATGGCGTCGAGGGCTTGTAAGGGGTTGCAGGGGTTAGGCCTTTGAGATGAGGGATTTACCCCCTAAACCCCGAAGCCCTGAACCTCTAAGCCCTAAACCAGTTTACCCCTAAACCCCCCAAACCCTTAACCCTAAACCCGTCGGGGCTTCTCCTTGCCCTCCCGACCTCCCCACGGACACCAGGAACTCGATCATCGCCTGCACGTCGAAGAGCTCCAGGGGAATCGTAACGAGATCCCAGACCTTTAGGGTTCGGGATGTATGGTGTAGGCTACTCACCGGGAGTTGGTAAAAGTAGAAAACAACTCCTAAGAGCACTCAAGAGACGATGAAGAGGCTGCCAATCAAGGACCAGAGGATGTGAACCTTGCTGCTTGGCGTCAGCACCAGGGGCTGCAAGCAGGATGCCGTGTCGGTCTCTAGGTCCCTCATCCTGGCAGAAGCTTCGGCCAAAATCCCTGCAGCTCCTAGCCCCAGACAGTCCGGAAAGCCTCCCTAAGCTCCATAAGCATAGACCCTGGCCCTGGACCTTAACCCCCTCAAACCCTCAACCATCCCAAACCTAAACCCTAAAAACCTTAAAAAATCCGAAGCCCAGGGTCCGATGGATCTTCGGCAGCGGTGACAGCTGGAAGCTCTTGGTGTGGTCCCGCTTCAGGTGCCCGTGCTGCAACCCCACCTCCAGGCCGCATCGGTTTTCTTCCTAAACCTCTCAAACACCGAGCCTCACTGACATTGTATCATATTGTACATAAAAATGCTACGTCCTCTTACATCCGATGAAGCCTGCACCCTCCAAGCCCGAAGCCAACTTGCCGCCCACAAGTCCCCGGGAAGAAGAGAAAAGCCATGCCCAGTAAGTTCTGCGTCAACCCCGAAACAGCAAACCATACACCCTAAACCCCAAGAAACAGTAAACCCTACACCCTAAACCCCAGACAGTGAACCCTACACCCTAAACCCCAACCAACCCCAAATCGTAAACCCTAAACCGTAAGCCCTAAAGCCTGAACCCCAAACCGTAAACCCCAAAGCCTAAACCCCAAACCGTAAACCCTAAACCCTAAACCCGCAATGAAACAGTAAACCCCAAAGCCTAAACCCCAAACCGTAAACCCTAAACCCTAAACCCGCAATGAAACAGTAAACCCCACACCCCAAAGCCCAAACCCCCCACCTTCCAGGGGCCGCGCAGCACCAGCGCTTCCAACTCTGGGTTCATCCTGAGCTCTGCGTACGGCAATCGGGGTTTAGTGGGACCCCAGGACTTCAGGGTTTTAGGGTTTTAGGTTTTTGGGTTTTGTTTTATTAAGGGCCTTTTTCGTCGCTTGCGCTCCAAAGCCCTCCAGGGTAGGCTAGTCTGACACTTACTACGGTGCCCTCACTTTGTCACCCGCCACCTTCAAGATACCACAATCGAAGATCACCCATCTGTCTGGCTTTTAGGGTTTAGGTTTTAGGGTTTGGGGCTGGTCACGCAATCGGGATCTATAGCAAATGACACATAATTTGGCCTCCCGATGATAATAACTTTCATAGCTCTTGTTAAGGAACTATACTAAATAATTTTTAATATATGGTCTCCGCATTATTCTTGTTGCGGAATTTTCGCTACGTTCTGAAGCATTTATAGTAAATAACATGGTCTCCCCATTACGATAGCTTAGAACACAGTCTAAACTCCGAACCCCAAACTCGAAACCCCTAAACCCTACCTGCACACCCGAAGCCGCAAAAAAACTCCTGAAGAGCCCTAAACCCCAAACCCTAAACCTTAAACCCCAAACCCTAAACCATAAACCCTAAACCTTAAACCCTAAACACAACCCTAAACCCTAAACCCTAAAAACCCTGAAAACCCCAAAAGCCCTAAAAACCCCCCCAAAACCCTAAA